AACAATGGAGCCAGGCTTCTCTCTGAGGCTTGAGGAAACACATGCATCTCTTGATGATTTCAGGAGGTTCAAACTGAACAAGCTGTAGAGTACGTAAGATGATATGGTGGTAATTGGTAAAGAAGGAGTCGGTACGGACTCTTCTTCAAGCAACTACCTTGCTTACACTCCACAGCCTTTATACTCTAGGAAATCCTGTATCCTGCGAGAATTACAATGCAGTAGGAACTGCAACAGAGTTCAAAATGTGCTTCTCAGTCTCATTATCAACTGCAGCTCTGTTTGCAATGCTTAGCATATAAATTATTTAAATTAAACTAACTACATAAATTATTCAAGTTTGTTTGTTTTTTTTCACCCTCTTATCTTTAACAGACACTGCATAAAGTTCAGTGCTAGTGGTGTTACACTTCACTACCAATCAGATAGGAATGCTGAAGGTACCTCACAACACTGGCAGTGTCCAAATGACCATGAGACTCTTAGGAGGCAGTTACTGAAAGCTGAATGATAGTGGCACTGGAACAGCTCATCACCAGTGACGGGCTGCATTCTGCTCACCAGGGTAAACAAGGAGGAAATTACAAAGGTAATTACAGGAGAGATGGTTGCTCTGGAATCAGTACAAGCTAATCCTGTTAAATGCTTTGTGTTTTGCCTTTGAATGCATCCAGGGCTTGTTGCTCCTGCTGTAGGAAACCTGATCAACATCCACACTACAAGCAAGCCTAGTGTACTGTCTCTCCTCATAAAACAACATCCTAACCTGGTCCCTTCTCTCCTAGTGAACAAGTTACTAGGATGAACAAGAGTGTGGTCGTGATCTCTACTGTCTTCTCTTTTCCTGTCACCTGCTCTATCAGCTTCCTAGCCAAAGTCCATAGTGGTTAGGGTGAAGCTCTGACTTGCAGACTTGTGCAAGCAGACTGTTTCTTTCGGGCCTCAGCCAGACATCTGGTTTAGGTGCCTGCAGTAGACATGTATGGCTGCCAGCTTTGAGAAAGCAATAAACTAGAGAGCCTGCATTAGGGACACGGCTGTCAAAGGCTGGTTCCTAGACAGCTGTCAGAGAGAAGCAGCGATGAGGTGTAATTGTGAGATAAAACTTGAACAGAGTGTTTAGTTTCAGTGGAAGCCGTCTGAATTATCCTTTATACACAAATCTTTTGTTTCATGCTTTATTCTTTCTCTTCTCTTAATTCCAGATTTCAAACATGATTTAAGAAAGCAGTCTCCACCAGGTCTTTTGATTTTGCTCTGATTGATTTGTAAATCTGTGAGGACAAGGTTGGGTTAGATTTCTGACTGTGCCCAAACATTGTGACACATCAGAGCTGTGGCATTTGTGGGGGCCATACTTCAGCTGTAGGAAAAAAAAAAAAAAAAAAGTTATTTAATTCATCACAGTCCCCATGGACTATGCATGTGATGTTTTCAACTGATCATCACAGCACAAGACAAAATCCAAAATATTGGTAGCTACCTGTTTAGTGCTGAGATAGTGTAGTGGTGTAGTATCAGTTCAGAGTGCAGATGAGTAAGATAGAGAAATACATTATTAATGTATTACCTCATTTGAAGAATATATGGATGTCCGTGACATGTTCCTTGCTGAAGGAAAAGTGAAATAGAAATCCTATGGCAGGAGGACATACTGTTAAGAGGCCTGCAAAGACATGTTGTAACGTATTCAGAGCAGCATCCCCTTCATCTCATGGCTTGAAGCACCCTACCAGGTGGTAGTACCTCAAGGGAAAGGGTATGGCCTGTTTTGCCACTTCAGTGATTTTGAACCTGTTTGAAAGGCAAGTTAAAGGCTCAGATTATTTGAGTGTGGTGAGGATAGCAGACTGCCACTCTTTTGATTTCACAGTGAGTCTCCTGATACTTAGTGTTTTCCAATTACCCACAGCCTTTGCAAACATTTGTGCATGTAGCATTGTGGTTTTATTTTATTTAAAAATTGTAAAAGAACAAGATCACAGAATTGTAGAGAATGGCTGGCAAACCTGAAACTTTAAAGCACAGAAGAGCAAAAAGAAAACAAAACTACCCAACTACCTCTAAAAACAAAGCAGAACAAAAACTATTTTAATGCATCCTCATGATTCAATGCAGAGGAAGAACAGACTTTCCTATCTTTTTTTCAGCAGTTTGGAAGTGCTGAAATACAAGGGAGTGAGAGGTATGTCATATTCATTAAAGATGGATGTGGCATGCTTCTTCCTTTTTAGGCTACCAAGAGATGACTTTCTGTGTGTGGTGATAACTAAGAGGATAAGAGTGTGCTTCTATTGGTTTCATGCTTGCCTGTATTGGACTAGATAGAGGTAATGACCCTGGAGATACTGTATTTACTTCTCCTTCCTTATTTACTTTGTTTCTTTTATTTCACTTTAGGGGACTAGGCTGGAATTGACATTTCTTTCTCTTCAGCTGCCGCCTCCTCTCTCAATGCTAGGTCTCTGGGCACTGAGTTAAGCCAGACAGTAGAATGGACCTGTTGTAAATAGTGTTGATAAATTGGGTAGATAACACAGCATGGCCTGGTTTACCCCAGTGCACAGAGTAATAAAAAGGAGCTTCCGCCTCTGAAAGGTCACGATATTGACAAGGGGAAGAGCTGCAGGAATGGCAGTTTTGAGAGGCTTGTCGCTAACACCACTTTTCTGCAGGAGATGCTGCAGGCATTTATGCCTAGGCCTCTTCCTCCCTACCCTCACCCTTGAGGTCACCGGGTTCCATGGTGCGGGGTCTGACCACCACCCAGCTGAGGATCCCTGGTGCTAAATGGGTCTGAGCAGCAAGGCTCACAAAAAATCTCATGAACTAGCTAAATTCAAAATGGCCAACAGCACCGGAGTTTTCCTGACTTGGACAAACTGACCCCTCAGGACTACCCCAGCAGTACTTAAATGCTTTGTCATCTCATCCTGTTTACAAAGGAGACCTTAATGGTAGGGATACAGATATCAGTATGACAGAACTCTCCCTAACAGTTCAGTGGTTTGATGTGTTAAGTAAAAAATGTTCTCTTTCTATGCTGTTTCCGTTATCTCATTGCAGACACGAAGCAGTGGAGGGAAGTGCAATAGCCAACAGACAGTCCACACAATAACCATCACTGAGACATCCCTTTGGAAGTGCCACAACACTCATGGATCACAAACATTGATAACAACTTGTGTCACAAGCGTTCACCACACAGAAGGCAAAAGTGAGATCAGCTAAAGCACTAGCTCTAATGGATAATTAGGAGTCTTAGACCACTTTGAGGAAACCTACACACAAAAAGTGGGTCTTTAAAAAACATGTCTTCCCCTTTGAGTAGTCAGAGTAAATGCTGTAAATTCAAAAGCACCAAATCAGAGGCAGCAGGAGAGAGAGTACAGTGGGGTTGACATGTGCCCACAAATAACAGCAAATGGAATAATCTCCAAGGCCCTGCCAAGGCTTCAAGTTCTGTGGGTGTCACAACACTTCTAAACAGCTTTCTAGTTAACATACCCAATATCATGACTGGAAATTCAAGTCTAATAAGATTTTCTTTAAAAGCTAACTTATAGAGCCTCCTGAATGCCATAGACCATGCCATTTGGCACCAGCATGTGATATGATTATACAATATCTGCCATTCTGTGTCACATCAAAGGTCCATGTAGTCCAATAGCCTTCCCTGACACTGGCCAACAGATCATGCTTAGCAAAAAGTATCAGAACACAGTGTCTGTGGAATGATTTTTGTCCCAGTTGCTTTTCCAGCCGTCAGCACTCCAAAGCTTCTGGGATTCCTAAACCAAACTTGTACATAAAGTACATTGTACATCAAAGAGAAAGTATCCATAAAATGGAGGCATTGCTACTTAGTGGGGAAAAACATTTGCACTCCCCAGAGAAGCTAAACAAGTATGACAAAATATTGATTCTATCATTTGATTTCAAGATCAATGCCCATCGTGCATTAGAAGAGGGAGCTTTTCTACAGTAGAGTGAGTTTCTTAGCTCTATAATGTATTGTGCTACTCTAATAGTATTATACCAGAGCTGGTTTTCTGAATGGAGGGGAGAAATGGGTTTTGTCACTTTCTATGTCTTTTTGACTGTTTACTTGGCTACAGTATTGGCTTAAAAGTAGGTTCCAGCAGCACTCATGGCCTGCTCCCAGCTAAATGTTGAACTCTCTGTTGAGTTTTTTATAAATGAGAATGAGGTTTTGGGGACATTCGTATTTTGCACTGAGAATTGGCCCATGCAGAAGGCTAGAGTTTGATGGATCATCAATTTGTGTCATTTACTGCAATTCCAAATGCAAAGTGACATGAATTTGGAAACCTTAGCTAGGCAGGGAACTGTGAGGCAAGGGTTGACTTTGGCCAGAGTAGGAAATTGTAATGCCTTGGGACGATAACAGCAAACTGGCTCAGGGGACATCTAAGCAAAACCCAAACCATGCCCACTGAAAAGTCAGTCTAATTATTTAATACCTTTTATTCCTGGATAGCAGCATCACAAAGCCCAGAATGGCAATCCTTGCTTTGGCCACAAGCACAGTCTGCCAGGGAGCCAAGACCAGCTCATTAGATGGCAAGATTTGCACTCCTTGCAAGAAGCTGGTCCCCATCCAGTTCTGACAGCCTCAGCCAGCCTGTGCCATCTGGCTGGGACAGGTCTCCAAACACACAGCAAAGCCTTTCTCAAAGCCCTAGCCACATGGATAGACTATTTGAGAGTGCTTGAAATGGTGGTCACCATAAAGTGTAGTGGCTTTTGGCCCCAGTGGCCACTTTGTCACAGATGTTGCTGGGGTCTGTTATAATTTCCAGCTACTTCTGGAAAGCACAGTTATTAGTAACCATTAAATAAGAGCAGAAGTAGAAAACAACTCACCCTCACTTTACCCTGATCCACTGGGCAGGTATGAGCTAACACATTTGTCTCTTTCTGCTAAGAAAGTCGGGGTTATAAACATGATTTTTATAATTGGGTTTTAATGTATGTAGAAACCACCTAGCAGTGGTAATAGTTTTGCACCAGAAGAGCCTTAAGACAGAGAACAGCTTCTCTGAAGTGTTAAGAATCCCAGCACATTTATCTTAATAAGTTTTATTACAGCCTGCCAGTTTAAACCTAATGACTAATTTATCGTATAAAATACCAGCAATATATTTTTTTTATTTTGCTAATTAATTATCTCAAACAAAGGTGATATTTATAAGACTGTCCAGAAATGGTATGTGCATTAAAATTGCCTTGCAGTAGGAGATGAAATTCTTACTAATATGGGATCAAATTATTACTGTATTGACTTAGTTACTTTATTACCTCATAATGGATTTCTTCATTATTTTCCCCTGGATTGTAGCATTCATGATTGCATTAAAGTCTGTTAATCTATGCAAATATCATTAGGAGCTACTAATAACCACAGCAACTTTCTTCAATTTCAAGGAATGTGGTAAGTACTCTCAACACATTGTTATGTTCTGTTAGTGTGATGGGATTAACTCAGTCCCTGAGTGCTTGGGACAGTGGTGAGCAGCAGATCCCTTTGATCCTTTTCTTTCTTAAGGATAGAAAAGGTGGAAGGTGGAAATATGATCTGCTGTTTACAAAGCAAATGCCATTCTCAGCTCCACTACTCTAACTCAGACTGGTGTTTAGTGAGTCACGTTATTTTGCAAAGAGCTTTGCCATATATCCTTCTTTTTTTTTCTTTATTTTATTTTTTTTCCCAGTCCAGCTATTTATCCACAAAAGCAGTAGTCTACACATGAGCACATGTGTTTTTAAACTCCAGTGGGTAGCAGTTATATTCTATAGGTTAGATGATGGAGTGGTGGGATTTCTACATGCAGGACGAGACAGAAGCAAATAGAGTAGGTGAATGTTCAGCATTGGGCACAGCTTTTGAGTATCCCGTGTGTGATCAGATACCTTCACACTGGTGTTTTAGAGTTGTTCAATCACCTTTTCAAGGGGGCTGAGTTTGCTTCAGAGCTATGAGTGTGTCTGTGTTTGCGCTGACCACTTAAAAAAAAAGAAATGTAGACAAATATTATGCCTTGAATGTTCCCCTTTTCAACAGCACTAAAAACTATAAGATACATGCATAAGTGGAAGGATAGGTAAGGGGATTGGGTAGGAAGTAACAGGTACACATCAGTTGAGCGCAATAACTATTTATCTCTATTACAGATGAGTCCAATTTCCCATTTCCCTTGCTTAGATAATGAGGTTATAGACACCTTTGTAGTGAGGCACACAAAATTAGATAGAAGAAAATCAGGCTAAACTGGATCACTAAGTGAAAAGGACAGAATTTCACCTCTTTATCCACATCTGCCTAAATGATCTAGATCCATAGCTTGTGCACAACCAAGACAATCACAACAGCATCTTTTCAGCAATGATTTATATCTGATCAGTGCAATATTATTCTTGCAATATTAGGGCTTACGTCTGGCTCTCATGTCATTTCTGAATGGCACCTGAAGCCTCGTCTTCAAATTGACCTTAGACTGAAATCAGTTTAGGCCCAATTACAAGAGCTACTGAACTCTGGGTGCCCTTGTTTTGCTCCATCAGCACGTGCACCACAGCTGAGAGGACGACAGGCTTTGAAAATGTTAAAGGCTTCAGTTTTTGGCACAAAAGCTGCATTCTGAACTATGAACAAGCAAAACAGGCTTGAGATGGAGTTGAGCAATCCCACAGCTCCACAGGTTCCTAGAATCCCTCTCTTCTCCCTTACACAGTAACATGAATCTCCCTCCCAAAATCTCTGTTGTCAGGGTTTTTTTAGAAAAAAAAGAGAGAAAACTTCACAACATTACTGTGATGTCAAAGCAAACTGGTGTTGGATCAGGCATTTGCACTTCTCTAAATGGATCAACAAAATGTGATTGTTTGGTGTTTGGCTGTCAATCTGCATTTGGCTCAGAGGGGATAATTTTAAGTCAGAATGCGCTAAAAAGCAATTCCGTAGATGGAAGCAGTCTTGGACCCCATGAAACTTTCTCTTTTGTGCCAATGAGTGATCTTGTTTAGTTAAATAAAAGACTCCCCAAACAATGTTCAGTAAGAAAAAAGCAGGGTAAATCCATAAGAAAACATGTTTTTTTCTTGTGTATTCTTTCTATTTTTTAAAGATGAGTGGCTATTCTTCATGGCTAAAAAACAAAGAGAGTTAAACATGCTTAAAAAACAAAGAGAGTTAAACATGGTTAAAAAACAAAGAGGGTTAAAAAACAGAGATATTTAAAAAACAAAGAGGGAAGCAAGCCCAGGAGAAATACAGGCAGTAAATTAGATGGATTGGTTGAAGCTGTTATGCATTAATTATATTTCAGGATCACCTGGGCCCCCTCTCCACCAGACAGCAGAGCCTCTATCGGCTGGGCACTATACAAGCACTGAACAAAGGGTGGTAACAAAGCAGCATTAATGGTTGTATCAAGGGTCTCTCTGGCTGGTTTCCTTTCCCAGATCGTTGCAGAATACAAGCTCATTAATTCTCTGAGTTTAGACGGGTTCTGTCAGTCAAGACCTTTTCACAAAACTGCTGAGCGAACCTCCCAACATGAACTGGTTGGGAATTTTGAGACTAGAAATAAAGGAGGCTTGTTAGCCATTTTTTTTTTTTCATCTGACAAAGTTCTTAACCTGCTAAGGGGTTACAGTAGACTCAAATGTAAGGAAACAAACATGATAGGAGGGTAATTATTTACTAATTGAAGCATTAATTTGGAAGAAGGTGGATCCCACCAGAGAGTAGTTTGGCTCTCCTGTGCTCAGCCTCCATTTTATGCTGGGAAGAAAGTGCAGCAGTTTAACCCAAAATGGGACACAAAAGCATCTGCATTGGACTAATGGAAAAGTGGGATACAAGGGTTTCTTCTTATTACCTCAATCAAGCTTATTTGGAGTGGCTAACATTGCTTTTGATTAGCTTGATACCTGCTAATAAAAGTCTTTCTTCTGTTACTAGCTATGTGTCTAGCTGGATGGCTTTAATGTAGTTTGGAACTTTCAAAAGTCTGTATGCTAGTGATGTTCCCAATGCTGTCATCTTGAGCTCCTCTCAAATAGCAGTGGGGGGACATAATTATCCGCTGTAAATCAGAGC